TTGTCATCATCTTCAATATATGAGATAAAAATTCGCGTAAAAAAATCATGTTCTTCTACGAGAGAGAAATATCCCTTTTTATTAAAAAACAACTGGATATAACGATCTTTATGTATATGTGGTTACAATCGAATATGTTTAAGAAAAATGAAATACATGCGCTTTTATCATTGCTTGGTTAAATATGTGAGTACAAATAAGTTTAGGGTACCAAGTGTGCTCGAGACAAATTAAATCCGATAATAGCAAGATTAAAAAAAAATTCAATTCAAATATTTAGCAATATTAAATGAAAAATTACCAATCAATTAATTTGTTTATAATATTTCAATCAAAATCAATAAATTAATTTGTCGATATCTTACTAATATCAGAGTACCCATTCTATTTGTCTCGAATCTTCTAATTACTCACATATTTCATGTTACATTCATGCATTCGCGCGATATAATATTAAATATAATATAAAAAAGAGTCTTGTTAAATATATCACATAATTTGCGCATGTATTTTATTATATGTACATATACACTTATTTATAAACTAATCCTAAAATGGTGGGATGTCCAGTGCCTGCAAATGATTTCTTAAAAGAGACCAAAAATTAAATTAATTAATAAAATATATTTGTTTGTAACCACAATTTTTTAAAAATTTTGCAGAAACTGATTGTAATTTTAATTTATATATTTGCCAAGAAAACCTAGGTTTAATTCTAACTCTGTAACGAAAACTTCCAACTTTTAACGAGGCACCGAACTAAGCATCGTGGATAGGTCTCACAAAAACCGACGAGAAATAACTCTCCACGATGAAGATTGTTTCGATTCTCCGCCAGTACAAACCGCGCATTCGCTAGCGTCCACCTGACATGAGGGACAGCGATAAGGCCTCTTCGTCAAGATAGCGATCACATCCAAAAACATGGAAAGAACGCAATGTTTGCAATATTATTTATAAAATCATTTAGTGAATATTTAAAGCGACGCGAAATTCGTAAAATGCCCCTAATAAAAAACAAAACTCAAAATAAATTATTTTGTTTCGCAAATTTTTTCATCTCCGCGTGTGATCAATAATATTTAATCTTGAAAATTTTCCAATATTTTAAATATACTTATATTTTTGCAATATCAAAAGTGCGATCAACAAATTTCGCGAATAAGAAACTAATATTTAATCGTTAACATCAAATCTTGATATATTTAATAATCTTTATATTATGTAGAAGAGAGAGAATTTCAGCAATATTTGCAGTTACAAAATTTTTAAATAAAAATTTTTGGATTTTATTGATAATCTTTTGGTATGAGAAAAGTAAGCTATATTAAATTTTTGAATAATTTTACGATATATATAAAAATGTTGAAATCTAATATTTATCGAATATGTTAACTCAACGAATTTTGCGTTATTGTACGTATTCTTTCAGTTTCGCATAATTTACAATAAACTTTTTTTACAATAGATTACAATAAATTATTACAATTTATATAGATATAATTGTGCAGAAAATATAAAAAAATTATGGAATAAATATAACATTATAATTATAATTTACATATATATAGATGTAATTACAAGTTATAGATACAATTTATAATAATTGATTAATTATAATAATTGATGCTACCAGCATCTAATATTCTCAATATAAGAAATTGTAAAACTTTTATTATTTGATTATTACAATATATATTTGATAAAGATTCAAATAAATCGAAAATAAAAATACTAAAAATTATTTAATTTAAATTACTTTTTTTGAACATTACAAATTATTAGATACTGGTAACATTCACATTTAAATTTAAAATTATATTACTTCGAAGAAAATACAATTTTTAATTTACAAAATAAAATGTTAAAACAATTTACAAAATAAAATCTTACATAAAATGTTAAATATTGAAGCTAATACATATGTTATACGTATAACATAATGCAACTTAAATGTATTTTATACATTTAAGATACATTTTTACATTTTTCATAATTAAATTAAATTTTTAATTTTTACCTATAATTTTTTTCATGATTGATTTGTTCATCTCTTCAATATTTTAATAGTTTTTTTTAAATAATATTCTTTCAATTCCTAATTTAATAATTCCTAATTAGCTTTCCTTAAGAATCTTAAGGAATTAAATGACTACCTACCTTAAGTTAAAATAGTTTTAATAGTTTTAACAACTCTATTTTTGCTGGCTAAGCCAACGGGAATCTGGGGTCACCTAAATTTTGGGGAGCGTATTCTAATCGCGTGCCCTACTCGCGTGTCCTACTCGCGTGTCCTAATTGTGTACCCTACTCGAGTACTCTACTCGCGTGCCCTACTCGCGTGCCCTACTCGCGTGCCCTGATAGAAATCACCGTTGGGCTGCTTCCGTTGGGCCAGTTGGACCTACCTTTCGTTGATCCTGGCCATATTCATTCTGGCTACATCTAGCCAGAGATGTAATATTCATCTCTATCGGAGGTCGATGAAGGAAAGAAATTCCTTCCGTTGCCGGCTAATTATTATCGCCGGGACACGAGCGTAATTTCACGCTCGTTTACGGTCGTGAGACATTATGACCGTTTGTCATGCGTTGTTTTAATATAACTTTACTTTAACTAATATAATGCCAAGTTATCAATCAAAATTAATTGATTGAAAAATTCTTATATAATAATATAATATTAATTATATTAATATATAATTTATATTAAAATAAAATTAATAAAACATTTATGTTTAATATAATTTGATAGATCGATAATTTGGCTTTACATCAATTAAAGCAAAGCTTTAATTGATAAGATAATATAGATGAATGGGCTATACAAAATTACTATAAAATCAGCGCAATATAAGAATAAATTGTAACTATATCATATAATTAATAAGATTACTAGCGCCTTTTTCATTAAATAAATTAAATAAAATTCATCAATTGAAAAAATATTTTGCATTCTTTTCAAATTTTTGCTTTAATTTATACTTTAAATTAGATCTGTAATATGTTTTAATATATATTTAAAAAATCTATTAAAAGTTATTTGATCTATTCTAGCCCATCCATTTTGAGGCAACGGATCTATTTACATTCTACAATATATAATCTACATTTGCATCTACAATATCTACAGATCCGTTAACTCAAAATAAAATAAAATTCATCACTCACCGGCACTGATGCGCAACAGCGGAGTTGTTGGTCTTGAGGCTACGTTGTCTGTAACATATAAATATCAAGTCCAAATTATAGCAGCGTTCAAAATATAATTAATATTTAGTGCGGAATATTTTATATCCGATGCAAACAATACTAAGAAGCTCTATATAAATATGGAACAATTTTATAAATTATAAAAAGACTATTTTCTTTAATACTAAAAACATTTATCAGATTTATGTAAGTCTTGTTTCTAATTTTCTATTATTTAATTCATTCAAATAATGAGACTGAATTAATGCGCGTACGCGATTTTTAATAACTAATATAAAAAAAAATAATTAAAATTTCAAAAAATTTATTGTACGTGTTAAATTTTATATTCGATGCATATAATAATAAGCAAATTAATAAAATAATTTTATAAATTTTGAAATAAAGAAATATACTACTAAATTTCATATAAAAACTATAATTTAAAAGTAAAAATTTTTACAAGATTATAGCATTCATATAACAATCTTTTTTTATAATCCTCTCTTCTTTAAATCATATTTAAAAAAATCAAATTACGCAATTGATTGCTTAATTTAAATTGCACGTACGCAATTAATAAATAATTAATATAAAATAACAAATTACTTACCACAGGGTTGTTCTACCGGTGCCCGATGCCTCTCCTAGGCCTCCTCCTCTCAGGAGATTGCAACGCTGAGAGACATCCCATTTAGCCGGCAACAAAGTATAATCCTCGATTACAATGAAAACAGGATAGAGCTCCAACGCGAAAACACGACGACGCGACGCATCGTTATTCGTGCGGCACGATAATGGCAACGACGACGCACTAATGTACGTTCAACAAATGCGCGTGCCACATATGAGCCATTGTGCGACTCGTGGCAATGCTGTACTGACACGGAAGTCTAACATATCTAAGGATTTTATTTTGTCGTTGTATTTAATTAACAGTACTTAAATCTCGTAGAATTTTACGTTTCACATTTTTTTATACCTAATACATCTAACCACGTGTTTACTTCGTCGTTGATGCATTCATATGGAACACCGCGTAGCGCTGCATGAAGTTGCAAATATTGCCTCCCCGTCATAAAATCACTTAGTCCGTTTATTTGTGGACAGTATCCTATCATACCTATAAACTTAACAATATTTTTCATATAAGGAGATTTAATAGACTAACAACCATAGAATAATTTGCAAAATACGATACAAAATCTATAAAAGATTAGACATAAAAAACTTAAATATTTCTCATTAAATATACTTATATCTAAGAATATCTTATTTTATTTATAATAATTTTACATTTTATATATTTTAATTATATATTATATATTTTAATTAACGAGAGAAAGATGTAATATATTTGACAATATGTACTCACCATTTCTTGATTTCTTGTAAACTCGTATCCGTATATTACTGCTTTTCCAGCCGATATTTTTGTTTCTCCCGTTAGCATTTTATATATTGTTGATTTTCCTGCCCCATTAAATCCTAACAAGCCGAAGCACTCCTGCTTACAGATCTAAACAAGCAAGCAAAATTTATTTAATATTGCACATACATATATTTAAAAAAAGTATATCAGAAAATATTTTAAATTAAAATTTACTTACGCTAAAATTCACTCCTTGAACTACTGCATTTCCAGCGTACTCTTTTGTCAAATCTTGGACAATCAGAGCAACTTGTGGCGGAAATAATTTTGTTTCTTCATAATCTAGATAGAAAGGAAAAGACATAATGAAGCGAAAGACACAGTTCCTTTGATCAAGGCAAAAATATTATTTTTATAATAAAATAAGTTTATATATTCTAAATTTATAATTTTTTGCATATGTGTGTAAAAATAATATATAAATTTATAAGTTCTTTTAAATTTTATTTCTCATATATTTTACGTTTTATATATCCATCGACACGCTTTTTTTCTTCCAAAACTTCGGACTCGATATTATCATATTGTACAGAAGGCTTAGAATAACTATACCATTTTCTGCGATTTTTTTCTTCAAAAATCTCTAGCAATATAAAAAAGGCAAACATTTGGGATATCATTAAAAGTAAATCATCTGTGACCGAGTGATAATATTCAGCGCCAGATTGTTTGATTAGCATTACACTCAATTGCTTGTAACAAAATTTATCGTTGCAATTTTCTAAAATTTTAAATTTAGATTTAGTACAAATTATAATTCACGAAATGTATAATTTCGGTAAAGGTGGACTTACGACAGCAAGGATCTTCAATATAAAATTCCGTGTCGCATACATTGGAATAGCTGCACTGTCTATTAAATAAATTTAACATGATACAATTGCTTAAAGCGCAAGCTAATATATATGGTGGAAATATATGTACAAGAGTTTCGAATATGTATCTTCCGGTGCTGCTGAATATGCGAAACATCAATGGAAATACGATAGAGCCGTTCACCAATAATACTGCAAGATATATTCTATACTTAAATGATGATATTGTTATAAATAATTAAATTATATCTTACTTTGATAGTAAGTTTATCACTGACAATGTATAATGACGAATCGAGTTATTAAATTACTGACCGACTATGATGTTAATCAGTATCACAACCAGATAGACATTTTCCGGTTTTCTCGTGAAAAGTTGTATGCAATAATTTAATGGAATGGCGCAGCCTCCGTAACATAAGACTATTATTATAACCTGGGCTAGAAACATTAATTTATCGCATGCATATATTTTTCAAATTTAAACTTCTAATTTATGTACGATATATGACACATAAGCGAGTAGTATTTTTACTCTAAAAATTTCTATTTTTTTAGTATTAAATTATCTTCTAAATTCGTGGAATATTAAAACATTAATTGTCAGTTAATATTAAAATATGAAAAGAGGAAATTATATATAATAGAACACACGCGCGCAAAAATATTTCTTCAAATTCTCACCGATCTCTAAAGCTGAAAATTGCACAGTAGGATGATAAGGGACTAAAATTGCAATTCCAAGAAATATTATGGAGAAGGTGTACAACAGAAAATCAATGATATACATCGGAATCCAATAGATTCGCGTAGACACGCCGATCGCATTAGTTTGCAGCATCTTCGAGATTGTATTCCTCTCTCGTATTCCCATATCGATAGATGGTAGAAGAAGGAAGAAAGTCATTACTATAGCGGCGTTCTCCCAATTCCGGACGCTGCGTGGATGGACCAGCAAATGCTGCCACTGTAAATATCTATTTTGTCTTATAATATTATACAAAAAAATGAAGTGTCAAAAGAAAGGTATTACCTGTCCCGGTTGTACTAATGGTCGACTCGTCAATTTGATCCAACAATCATCTGACCCGCAATGATAGCGCAGCAACGCATTATGTAATAGATTTAATGCAATTGGTCCACTGTGTATCGCGATGGATGAATACATGAGTTGTACACGTCCTTGTGCATATATGTCGATAGACATCACATAACGATCCCTAAACTATTACGAAATATTAATAGCCGAATTTGGCTAATAAAGATGTCAAATTTGCATGGAAATTCATAGTACCTCTATCGAGTGTAAATCAGGATGAATCATAATATCTGTAGCTGGGACGTTTTTGGAGATATGATAATTATGCCTTTCACTGTACGCTTGGCCAGTAGTGTATAATGTGACAAGGAAGTCTTTCGCAATTTTCTCATCGGTCGCGTAATATAATACATGAAGGTTGTTGTCCATATAATTCGTTAAATTCATAATCTTTTCGCTATAGTTATAAATAATTGAAATAATTAAGTAACTGCGTTTATAAATTCTTCCAGCACACATCTTTTCTATACAAATGTCTTTAGCCGGGCGCACGTCGGTGAGCCGCGCGCCTGGTAGTATGTGGCAGCGCACACTTCATATATAAATCTCTACAAAAATATTAAATTTTGTATATAAGTATATATTTTAAATTAATTTTAAATATTTTAAAGGTAAATCTTTTGCAATTCCGGTTTTTTATTCAGAGTTCTGGGTAGTATTCCACGAGATATAAAAGAAACTCTTAATATTCTTACTCTCCGATATTGCAAGAGATATCGCGATTTTTTAATCATTTTTGTCTATTATTATTTATAAAAAATAAATGGCACATTTTATAATATTTTATATATTTTATTATATTTTATATTAACTACATAATAATAAAAGTCATGTTTACAGAGAACTAATATGCAATAATAGATTTTATTTATATCTTACGTATATTACGGGCAATCCAAGAATATAAACGTTCATAAAGTGTTAATTTTATGCGAAGTTTCTTCTGTTTCTTCGCTAAAGTTAGAAGTACCTCATCCATAGACGGTTGAGTAACAGAAAAGTCTGTGATCCACATATATCTTTGTCGTAACTTTTCCAGTTTATCAAATACATAACTGTATGAAATACCACTTTCCAATTCATATTTAAGAATACCCTGTTGAAAAATCTTTATTATTTTATAAATCTTTTCTAGATCTTATCAACGTGGTAAAGTTGTCAAATGCGTGTAATTTATTTAAATTATTTAATGTCTTTATGTATGTGTGAAATATTAATATTTTTTTTTCAATAAGAGAATGTCGCAAAGTAAAATTGTTTATTTTACCTACCAAGTAACTATCTTTAAACTTTATTGCTGGGAAAGTCTCATCAATAATGTTTTTTATTTTCTCGAGATTTGCAAGCTGGTATCCTGGTACTACTTTAATATTTAATATAAAATTGCGGCCATGTTTTGCCTTTAAATGCTCGCAAGACCCGATTGCGGTAAACTGGCCGTTAACCAAAATTCCCACACGTAGACACATTGCTTCTGCTTCCGACATACTAAAAATCCGGTTTGTCATCCCAATATTTATCGTAAATTTTGATTGTTAATTTATTGATCTAACCTATGCGTAGTGATTAATATAGATCTCCCCATTTCTCGTATTTGACGCAAAATTTCACAGATAGCATGTCTAGTCATTATGTCGATTCCAGCAGTAGGTTCGTCCATAAATATCATCGGCAGATTGCCGATTAAGCTCTGCAATACGCAAATTTTCCTTTGAACTCCCCAGGGACAGTGGGCGATCTTTAGATTCTCGAAGTCTAACATATCTAAGGATTTTATTTTGTCGTTGTATTTAATTAACAGTACTTAAATCTCGTAGAATTTTACGTTTCACATTTTTTTATACCTAATACATCTAACCACGTGTTTACTTCGTCGTTGATGCATTCATATGGAACACCGCGTAGCGCTGCATGAAGTTGCAAATATTGCCTCCCCGTCATAAAATCACTTAGTCCGTTTATTTGTGGACAGTATCCTATCATACCTATAAACTTAACAATATTTTTCATATAAGGAGATTTAATAGACTAACAACCATAGAATAATTTGCAAAATACGATACAAAATCTATAAAAGATTAGACATAAAAAACTTAAATATTTCTCATTAAATATACTTATATCTAAGAATATCTTATTTTATTTATAATAATTTTACATTTTATATATTTTAATTATATATTATATATTTTAATTAACGAGAGAAAGATGTAATATATTTGACAATATGTACTCACCATTTCTTGATTTCTTGTAAACTCGTATCCGTATATTACTGCTTTTCCAGCCGATATTTTTGTTTCTCCCGTTAGCATTTTATATATTGTTGATTTTCCTGCCCCATTAAATCCTAACAAGCCGAAGCACTCCTGCTTACAGATCTAAACAAGCAAGCAAAATTTATTTAATATTGCACATACATATATTTAAAAAAAAGTATATCAGAAAATATTTTAATTAAAATTTACTTACGCTAAAATTCACTCCTTGAACTACTGCATTTCCAGCGTACTCTTTTGTCAAATCTTGGACAATCAGAGCAACTTGTGGCGGAAATAATTTTGTTTCTTCATAATCTAGATAGAAAGGAAAAGACATAATGAAGCGAAAGACACAGTTCCTTTGATCAAGGCAAAAATATTATTTTTATAATAAAATAAGTTTATATATTCTAAATTTATAATTTTTTGCATATGTGTGTAAAAATAATATATAAATTTATAAGTTCTTTTAAATTTTATTTCTCATATATTTTACGTTTTATATATCCATCGACACGCTTTTTTTCTTCCAAAACTTCGGACTCGATATTATCATATTGTACAGAAGGCTTAGAATAACTATACCATTTTCTGCGATTTTTTTCTTCAAAAATCTCTAGCAATATAAAAAAGGCAAACATTTGGGATATCATTAAAAGTAAATCATCTGTGACCGAGTGATAATATTCAGCGCCAGATTGTTTGATTAGCATTACACTCAATTGCTTGTAACAAAATTTATCGTTGCAATTTTCTAAAATTTTAAATTTAGATTTAGTACAAATTATAATTCACGAAATGTATAATTTCGGTAAAGGTGGACTTACGACAGCAAGGATCTTCAATATAAAATTCCGTGTCGCATACATTGGAATAGCTGCACTGTCTATTAAATAAATTTAACATGATACAATTGCTTAAAGCGCAAGCTAATATATATGGTGGAAATATATGTACAAGAGTTTCGAATATGTATCTTCCGGTGCTGCTGAATATGCGAAACATCAATGGAAATACGATAGAGCCGTTCACCAATAATACTGCAAGATATATTCTATACTTAAATGATGATATTGTTATAAATAATTAAATTATATCTTACTTTGATAGTAAGTTTATCACTGACAATGTATAATGACGAATCGAGTTATTAAATTACTGACCGACTATGATGTTAATCAGTATCACAACCAGATAGACATTTTCCGGTTTTCTCGTGAAAAGTTGTATGCAATAATTTAATGGAATGGCGCAGCCTCCGTAACATAAGACTATTATTATAACCTGGGCTAGAAACATTAATTTATCGCATGCATATATTTTTCAAATTTAAACTTCTAATTTATGTACGATATATGACACATAAGCGAGTAGTATTTTTACTCTAAAAATTTCTATTTTTTTAGTATTAAATTATCTTCTAAATTCGTGGAATATTAAAACATTAATTGTCAGTTAATATTAAAATATGAAAAGAGGAAATTATATATAATAGAACACACGCGCGCAAAAATATTTCTTCAAATTCTCACCGATCTCTAAAGCTGAAAATTGCACAGTAGGATGATAAGGGACTAAAATTGCAATTCCAAGAAATATTATGGAGAAGGTGTACAACAGAAAATCAATGATATACATCGGAATCCAATAGATTCGCGTAGACACGCCGATCGCATTAGTTTGCAGCATCTTCGAGATTGTATTCCTCTCTCGTATTCCCATATCGATAGATGGTAGAAGAAGGAAGAAAGTCATTACTATAGCGGCGTTCTCCCAATTCCGGACGCTGCGTGGATGGACCAGCAAATGCTGCCACTGTAAATATCTATTTTGTCTTATAATATTATACAAAAAAATGAAGTGTCAAAAGAAAGGTATTACCTGTCCCGGTTGTACTAATGGTCGACTCGTCAATTTGATCCAACAATCATCTGACCCGCAATGATAGCGCAGCAACGCATTATGTAATAGATTTAATGCAATTGGTCCACTGTGTATCGCGATGGATGAATACATGAGTTGTACACGTCCTTGTGCATATATGTCGATAGACATCACATAACGATCCCTAAACTATTACGAAATATTAATAGCCGAATTTGGCTAATAAAGATGTCAAATTTGCATGGAAATTCATAGTACCTCTATCGAGTGTAAATCAGGATGAATCATAATATCTGTAGCTGGGACGTTTTTGGAGATATGATAATTATGCCTTTCACTGTACGCTTGGCCAGTAGTGTATAATGTGACAAGGAAGTCTTTCGCAATTTTCTCATCGGTCGCGTAATATAATACATGAAGGTTGTTGTCCATATAATTCGTTAAATTCATAATCTTTTCGCTATAGTTATAAATAATTGAAATAATTAAGTAACTGCGTTTATAAATTCTTCCAGCACACATCTTTTCTATACAAATGTGTATGAGTGTGAAAAGTGTTCCTTATAAAATATTTCTATTTGTATAATACTTATTATATATTTTTATAATATTTTAAGCATCATGAAAAAATGAATCGACACAGTATTCCTTATAAATAATAATTTTTTATCAATATAAAATATACTGATTATTTGTCGAGAAACCAAAAATATTTTTTAGTAGATAAAAATATAATACCAGAGTTATTTGAATTTTTATATATAAAAGAAATCTCTTGCATCTCTTTTTCTGCCGATTTAAAATAAGCAAAATTAACTTACGTCGTGTCGAAAAGTGTGAAAACACTCAACTCGCCGATCATAGTGGTCAAAATGAGCGTAACGATCGCCAAAGTTATCTAAATTAATTTTGATTATATTTATCGAAATACTTATATTTTTTTATAATAAACAGTATTTTGTAACAAAAGGGGGAATAAACTCTTACCGAAAATATATACATTTTATAGGAGGAAACAATGTGCAATAATTTCTTGTAGAACATTGCAAGAATTTGTTGTCGCCATAAATCGTTGCCGGTTAATCGCTCCCATGATTTAGCTGATAATTAAATTATGCGGAGAGAGAAAGAGAGAGATTAGTTGAGACTAATATTCATGACAATGTGTCGCGTACAATATTAATTATTTATATGGGCTATTAATATAGAAATATTAAAATATAAAAAAAAGATAAATTCTATATTCTTATTTTACAATTCTTTTAAAATAATGTCCAAATTTCACCTGTTTGTAACAAGTGCCGTCGTCTCTGTTGCACAATGAGTTCATATTTGTTGCTAGGTAATTGTACGCAGCGTTCCTTGAATTGACTTTCTAAACCTATTCTATATGCAAAATAAAATAAGCAATGGTATTGAGCAATTTTTTAATTTTTGACATTTATTGCACAACATTTATGGTAAAACGTGAAAAAAATTTAATTAAAATTGTTATTTATAATAAATATTCTATAGAAGTTAAAACTTTCTGTTTCTAGAACTGCATTTATTTTATTAACTTTGAACCAAAATAAAAAAAAATTTGTTAATAAAATTTGTAATACTTAATACAGCGTTTGCGAGTGAACACTTGATACCTGAGAAATTGACCCTCGATGCTTGCAGCACTCAGTGCAGCAGATACGATTCCCAACTCTTCCTTATTGGATTCTAAATGTTGGAGCAATTTAGTGAATCGACTGCTTCTTGGCACGTCGAATCTTATTACTAAACCCATCATGTCTCGCACAGTAATTGGGTTTGCCGAGAATTCCTGTATTTCCGCGCGAACTCGTTCCACATCGCAATTCTCTTGTACCAATAAACTCAGCACATAACCGATTCCTAATTTCAATTAATTTTAGAAAGATATTAATTAATGACACATTAATTACATCTATTTTGAAATTTTTTCTTTATGTCAGTAAAGAGGTTAATCTTGTTTACGAGCTTCAGAATTTTACCATATCGACGATTTAGATACATTTTCGAACCGTAACATTCGATCCTTCCGTTCGCGATAATAGCGATTCTATCGGCGAGAAGATCCGCAGCTTCCATAGAATTCGTTGCCATTAATATTGTCCTCTCCCTTTTTATATCCTGCAAATCGTTAATGCGCGATACTTGAAAATTTCTATTGTAGATATTTAATATTTAACTGGCTGTGTTTAAAAAAGACTATTCACCGAAAGTAGATCCCACACCTGTCTTCTGTGCCAAGGATCGATTCCATATGTAGGTTCGTCGAGGATTAAGATCTGACACAGAATCTATATTTTAATTACCTAATCTATTTAATTTATATATCCATTACCAGAACTATTTTACAAATGTTAACATTTAATCCTTATAAATCTGTATTATAATTTATTAAAATTATGATTATAAAAAAATATAATGTACCTTAATATTGCCGATAAGCGCCATCGCTAGACAAATCCTTCTCTGCGTACCAAAGGAACAAGATTTCGCTTTCGTATCTATTACAGATTCCAAATCAAGTTGCTTCAACAGCTTTAACGATTCCCTGTGAGCATCAATATAATTCATCCCTTTCATCTAAAATAATAATTAAATTATTGAATAAAGTTTTGATCAATTAATTCGTTTTAATCAATATCCATTTTAGATTGAATATATTATTTGATGAACAAATTAATGCGTTGTCCATATTTATCATTTTTTTTTTTTGTAAATGTTAATAACATGAAAATAAATTTATACCATGCCAAATATGTAGATATGCTGTATTGTTGTCAAGTCATTCATCAATATATTTTCTTGCGGACAGTAACCAATCGGATCCATGGTACTTTCGTCCACGTTATCTCTTCCTTCTACGTAAACGTGACCATGAGTTGGTTTGTACATTCCTGTTATACATACAATTTAATTACAATTTTGTTGGTATTCAAATATTAAACTTGGACATCTATCATATTTATAAGAATCTATTTTACCTATAATTGTCTTTAACAAACAGCTTTTGCCGGCGCCATTGTGACCAAGAATAACGCTGAATTCTTGATGATAAAAATCGATCGTTACATCGTCCATAGCTGTAAAGCGTTCACCAATTCTACCAAATTCCTTGCGAACACATCTTACTCGAATAGATGGCTATTGTTTATATGTATATGTAAATCAATTATACAAAAAGCCAGTTAAATTATGTTAAGTTATAACTAATTATTGATGCTTTGTGAAAAGAGAATGTAAACGTAGAATAAAATTTAAATTTAAGAACAATACTCTCTTTCTTCTCTCTGTCTTTTATTTAATTAGATGATGTTATATGTACCTTTATGTATGACGGCGTATACTCAACTGCCGACCAATTAGTGGATCCACGGATCGTTAAATCGTCATTATCATAAACAGGTTTCTAGACAATTCATAATGTGTATTCGTAATTTATGTATAAAACTAACTTTCATGTTATGTTTTTATACGATATACTAGGAGCATAGGAAAAGACAGATGGAGAAGTATATTTTCTTAAAATATCATAAATGTTATCCTAAATAATATCAAAATTACTTATATAATTTAAAAGAAAGCAAGTAATAATTTTGATGATATTAAAATTATAAGTTCTTTTATTTACCTTGCATAAATAGTACCAAGGTTTCGCGCTGCCAAATTTACCCGGGTTAATATTGTCCAAGTATACCGCTAGTAGATACCAGAAGATGATGTGCAAACACCATGCAAACAGAATTATTCCGATAGAGATCTTCTCTTTGGCATGGATAATATTGTGGACGTCTCGTAGCGCAATTAATTCGGAGAACCATCGCGGCCATAAATACGAAGTGGGACTCATGTAATTGCGCGATTTCATTCTCTGCCAAATATTTTTCAAATCTTCATTTTCATAATTTTCTATCAAGAAAAAAACAAGGATAATAATATATATTTCGTTAAATTATATATATTATTTATCACTTATATAAAATATCTCACAAAATCATTTGACTTAATTTATAATAATCTCGCGTACGTTTGCTCACCGAAATTCGCTCGGGTCGTGAAGGCTACAAGTCCGTATAGCAAACCACTATGCGGCAGCATTAGCGAACCGATTTTCCATAAAACAGTTGCTCCTATCAAAAATTGATCCAGAACGATGGTAAAGTGTGTCAGAAAAATCCAAAACAGAATTGACGTGAGCAATGCCTTTGTAGCTATGATAAAATAATATACGCAATCATATAAGAAAATCTTGAAAAGTATCTGTAATCACACGCACACATACACATACACAGGAAAGACAAGCATTTATATTTAAGGATAATGATATTTTTTTGTTCATATGTTTAAATAACTTACAGTGATTGAAAAATGTGCTAATCGTGAACATGAAGAGCACCGAAAGGATATTGTACATCATGATAAAGATAGCGGTGACCAATGCATTAGTAGCCGAGAACACGGGATACAGCAGGATTGTGCATACGATTGTCGCAGGTAACACGGCGATCATGAGATAATTGAGCCATCCGACGTACAGCATCGCAAAAGACATGTTTGTCAATCTCATAAGACTCTAAAAAAAATATTTGATCTTCCAAATTATAGTGGAAATGTAAAGAAATTATTATCGCGATATTCTGTATATTTATTTAAATTAATTGGCAAATAATAATAAATATTAAAAGATGTAACAAAAAATTTTTACTCTGAATCCAGTTTCTTTATCATGGAGCGCTTTTCTTAATGTTGCTACTGATAGCGGCAGAAAGGCGATGACCATCATGTAATAGATTATACTTATGTTAGGTCGAATGACAGACGGTAGAAGTAAAAAATCCATTTTGTAAAACGGAAATCGGCCGATAGTCAACTGTGGAAAACGTCTACTTTTGTTGATCGTTTTAATTTCACTACATTTTCTTGCTTAAAATAATCTTTACTATATTGCTAAAATTTTGTATTAGTATTTTCAAGAGAATTTACATCGTCAGCGATCTTCGGTAGTGTCGGATTCGTCCACATTTCGACGAAGGATTTCTCAATTGCAATTTGTAGAGCCATAAAACCACTTAACACGTACGGATCTTCAACCATAAACATTGACATAAATAATTTACATTTTTTACTATGGTACGTCCTTAAGATTAAAGTCAATATAAATAAGATTTCTATCACATTTATGGATTACTGCAATAATTACACTACTAATTAAGAGATGATTTACAAGATTGTGAAAAATATTTTTTAAACGCAAAATTCCTCGGGAATAGAATTTCAAAGATCTTGAGTTAATTTGAAATTTAAAATATCAAGCTACAATCTAACGTCTATTTATCAAAAAATATATTTGATAAACACCTTTATGGGCAGGTTCTTTCTCGTGCATCATGATTATTCGATTCTCTCCTATTTCCGACGAGCGTATTTTATATTTTAAAACTTTTGGTTTACCAGATGCAAGTTTCTCGATCTCAAAGATCGCCCATAGTACCTTGGAAGTGTCATTTTTCGTGTAACGCAAATTCACGAGATTGATCTCGCTATCGGCTGCTTGAACTGATATGCAACATGTAGTTTTTATTCTATTTCTCGTTTTAAATATCTTCGAGATAATCTTACCATTCGTACGAAGCATTTTTGCGGCTTTCGACATCAACTCGTCTATAAATGCATTTTTTGGTGCATACCAGCAGTTCACGTCATTCGGCAATTTCGCCAGAATATCATCTCGATTGTATCGATCCAAATCCTTTGTATAAATAAA